TGGGGCACCCTGCCAGGATGACACTGCTGGTGCTGATTGGTACCTGGCACTGAAAATGGCTTAGATAATTTAAAAGAGGGCATTCCAGAACACAGAAAGTGCTTTGAACCCCCTGAGGTTCAATGTCTAAGGTAGGAACTGAACCAAAGCTTCTCCGTCTGGTATCTTAAATGATTAGGAGTCCTTGCTTGATTTCCTGCAATTTGAAAACAACTGAAAAGATAAAGAAGATAGAAGGAGTAATATTTTAAAATTTTACACAAACCTTAGATTTAGTAGCTTATTAAATAGGACAATTTTTATTAGGTAATGGGAAAAAATAGATATATGAACAAAAATGAGGAAGTTTTACAATCAACATTTATGTAACTATATTATAAAGTAAATTATATTTGGATAACTATGAAATTTTTGATTACACAAAGTGTGAGTCTGATTACCTCTTATATTTTTAACTCCCACATAAAGTAATATCTATGAATAGTTAACCCATTTATGCTGGAGGTTGCGAACTATTCAAGCAGTCATAGAAAGACATTTAACTCAAAGTTGAAAGAAACTACATTGCTGCAGTTTTAGGAAATCTTATTAAAATTGGGAAAAAATGATGTTCACTAACCTGAATATCCAAAATGTTATCAATAGCACTATAGGACTATAAAGTTACTACTTTAAACACATTCCAGTAAGAATTATTATGAGGTCAAACTTTATGTTTCTAAAGTTTCCATATAAAATTTCTTTAATTTCTAAAATTAAATTAATATTTGAGCTCATTCATTTCTGTATAGAAGTTAAATCCTAATTATTTGCTATGTTTTCATTAACTATGAATTTTATGTAATTCTGAAATTATTTATTAGAATAAAATAATTGCTTGAGTGAAAAAAAAAAAGAAAAGAAAACAACTGCTCTGGCCACTTCACTGCTTTGTTTCTAAATATTTCCCTAGATCTATGGTGAAATTAGTACCAAGTACAAGTACAAAGCTCAGTGGGAGTAGCAGAGAGTGAAGGACAAATATGGGAGTTCTGGATGGATGATAAAGAGTTTATCAGGCGACAAAGGTGGAGGAAAACGTTAGAGTCTCAGAGCACACCTATGCAAAGCACAGAGTCCCCAGATCACATGTGGAGTGGTGACTACTCTGGTGCACAAGGAGTTGTGTCATTTATTGAACATCTAGTCTGGTCCCTGTAAATTGTTAAATGTTATATGGAATAGATGGTACTTTTTCCCTCTGTATGTTACTACCATGATTTGCATATAAATTCTCTTGATGTAACCCCAGTTGTCCAAATGATCTGGAGCCTCAATTTTATTATTGTTTACACATGATCAGAAATTTATAGAGACACAGGTGGTATCCACAACCTTAGCTGAGTATCTGCATGATATTGGTCTAGCAGTGGACAGGAATATTCTGACCCTTTTATAGCCCTTTCCTAGTGTAGTGATTACTACCTATGATGGACTTTACTCTCAACTGTCTCTAGGCCACTTGACAAACCTACAATATTTTTAGATTTTCGTCTATAGCAATACGGTGATCCCAATAGATTTTAAAGGAAAAGAGCTAATGAATTAGGTATACATAGACTAACGCACACTGTCTTAGTCTAGTCAGCCTGCCATAACAAAATACCATAAACTGGGCGGCTTTTAAATACCAGAAATTTATTACTCACAGTTCTGGAGGCTGGGAAGTCCAAGATCAAGATACCAGCATCATTGGATTCTGGTTGAGGACCCCCTTCCAATTGCAGACTGTCAACTTCTTCTGTGTTTTTTTCGTATGGCAGAAGGGGTGAACTAGTGTTACAGGATCTTTGGGGTGTCGATTTTCTGGCCAGAAACCTCTGTGGCTGGTGGCAACTTTGCCAGAGTTCTTGTCCTGTGTCCAGGAAGAATGAGGTATGCAGACAAATGAAGGGTGAACAAGATGAAGATGAATTTTATTAAGTGTTAGGACAGCTCAACGGAGACCTGCAGTGAGTAACTCTTCTCTGTAGGCAGGTCATCCCGTGGAATGTTCAGCTGTCAGCAGAGGGGAGGCCCTGGGGAGGGTAGCTTCTCTCTGCTTCTGGTCCTTCCTACGTCTGCTGCTCTCAGCAGAGAGGAGGCCCTGGGGACAGTTGCTCCTCTCTGCAGCTGTAGTCCCAATGTCTCTGCAGGTCTCTGAAGCTCTCAGCAGAGAGGATAGTTCCTCTCTGCAGCTGGTTGTCCTGTCCTCTCCTGCTATCAGCAGAGAGGGTAGTTCCTCTCTGAAGTTGGTCCTCTCTTCGTCTCTTCCTCCTCTGACCCTGCTCTGGCTGAGCCCAAGGCTTTTATGGACCTCAGAGTGGAGAAAGTGTGTGCCATCAGTCCACATGCAGCCCCAGAAGAGGCACCACAAGCCCCCACAGTCCACAGGACTGGCAGCCCAGTCCCCAGCCTTCAGGCCCTGAAGATGTGGCCCTACCAGGGACTGCTTCCTTTGACCCAGGAATCTGTCTGCCTCCCACTACCATTTATGTCTCCGGAGTTTGGCCAGTCTTTGCTCTCAGACCAGAGTGGGCATTGGTAGCAGGGAGAAGGAGAAGCCAGGCAGTGGGAGCAGCCACTTCTGAGCCTGCGAGGGCAAGGGGCCTTCCCAGGCCCCAAGAGTGCAGGGATGCCTGAATCTGCCATCTCGACTTGGGTGACTGCAGCTGCCTGGGGCAGGGTTGTGGGGCAGGATTCCAGTATGCTCCTTAGAGCGGAAGGCCTGGGTCTACAGTGGTGGTCTGGGTGGCTGCAGAAGCACCTGGGAAGCTCACATCCCAGCTTGGAAGAGGCAGGGCTCCCATGGGCTCCAGAAAGTGTGCAGCCCTAACTGCACCTCCCTGCTTCTGCCTTTGTGATGGCAGGCTGCCATCGCTAGCTTTCTAAAGTCCCTTTTAGAAGAGCACTAATCTCATTCATGAGGGATCCACCCTTTAACCTAATCACCTCCCAAAGGCCCCATCATGTTGGACATTAGAATTTTAACATATGAATTTTGGGAAGACACAAACATTCAAGGTAGAGCACAGGCGTTTTGTATATAAGAATATTACCTTGACTGGGCATGGTGGCTCACACCTGTAATCCCAGAATTTTGGGAGGCTGAGGCAGGCAGATCATCTGAGGTCAGGAGTTGGAGACCAGCCTGGCCAAGATAGTGAAACCCTGTCTTTACTAAAAATACAAAAAAAAAAAAAAAAAAATTAGCCAGGTGTGGTGGCAGGTGCCTATAATCCTAGCTACTTGGGAGGTTGAGGCAGGAGAATCCCTTGAACCCAGGAGGCGGAGGTTGCAGTGACCTGAGATTGTGCCATTGCACTCCAGTCTGGGCAACAAGAGCAAAACTCCATCACGAAACAAAACAAAACAAACAAACAAAAAAACCAATATTACCTGTAGGGTCCAGTCCTACAGGGTCTGTGGGTTTTTCTCCTTATGTGTGGAGATAAGACATCATAGAAATAAAGACACAGGACAAAGAGATAGAAGAAAAACAACTGGGCCAGGGGGCCACTACCACCAAGGTGTGGAGACCAGTAGTGGCCCCAAATGCCAGGTTGCACTGTTATTTATTGGATACAAGACAAGGGGGCAGGGTAAGGAGTGTGAGCCATCTCCAATGATAGGTAAGGTCACGTGAGTCACAGGGGGCCCTTCCCTGTTTGGCAGCCAAGGCGGAGAGAGGACAGCTCATGCCATTATTTTTTCTATGCATTTCGAAGACTTTTAGTACTTTCACTAATTCTGCTACTGCTATCTAGAAGGCAGAGCCAGGTGTACAGCATGGAACATGAAAGTGAACCAGGAATGTGACTGCTGAGGCACAGCATCACAGGGAGATGGTTAGGCCTCCAGATGGCTGCTCCACGAGAGGTGGTGGAGCAGTCTTCTCTAACTCCCCTGGGAAAGGCAGACTCCCTTTCCCGGTCTGCTGAGTAATGGGTGCCTTCCCCAGGCACTGACGCTACAGCTAGACCAAGGTCCGCTAGGTAACAGGTGCCTTTCCAGGTGCTGGCGTTACCGGTAGACCAGGGAGCCCTCTAACGGCCCTGTCCGGGCGTGACAGAGGGCTCACACTCTTGTCTTCTGGTCACTTCTCACTGTGTCCCTTTAGCTCCTATCTCTGTATGGCCTGTTTTTTTCTAGGTTATAATTGTAGAACAAACATTATTATAGTATTGGTATAAAGAATAATACTATAAACTAATGATTAATGATAATCATTTATAATCATATCTACAATCTATTTTTAGTATAACTATTCTTAATTCTATATTTTTTCTTTATTATACTGGAACAGCTAGTGCCCTTAGTCTCTTGCCTTGGCACCTGGGTGGCTTGCCACCCACAATTACCTCATTTAAAACATGGATGTTTGATAGGGAAAGGGCACAGTGAGTTGGTCTGCTTTGCTTGAGATCAATGCCCAGCATTTGTGAATCTAATTCATTCTTATAAGAATAAAAAATAATTAAGATTTTTATTGCTGGACTCTCTTAGACCCTATCTGGCAGTTTTCCAAAAGGATTTCCCATAAAAGGAGATAATCAATGAAGGTAAAAGCTGAAATTACTAAAATAAAAAGTAAAGCAGAAATAATATGTATGACTAAAACCTGGTCCACTGAGAAGATAAAAACATAGAATCCCTCTAGGGATTTACTTAAAGAACGAAAAGAGAAAACAAATTGTACAATATTAGTGATGAGAAAGGACACAAGGACATATAAAGACAAGATTAAAATTATTAGAATAAGATCATATAAAACAGTTGTAACAAATTTGAAAATTCAGTAGGAGTATAAATTATGACAGCCTTAGCTCAAAATTTGTCAGAAATTAGTTATCTCAGACTCATATACTTACCAGTCTAGTGGAAAATATACAGTAAAGGATTTTTCTGTGTTTGCCTCATAACGCAGAATGTGCTGTCTCTCTGGTTTAGCTCCTATTCTAACGGCTCTGTCTATTTTACAGAAAATAACTTCTGCTTGGAAACTGCTTAACTGCTGGGAAAATGAACATCAGTATTGATTTAGACACAAATTATGCTGAGCTGGTTCTAAATGTGGGAAGAGTCACTCTTGGAGAGAACAATAGAAAAAAAATGAAGGATCGTCAACTGAGTAAACAGCAGAATGAAAATATCTCACGAGCTGTGTGTGCTCTGCTGAATTCTGGAGGGGGAGTGATCAAGGCTGAAGTTGAGAATGAAGACTATAGTTATAAAAAAGATGGAATAGGACTAGATTTGGAAAATTCTTTTAGTAATATGCTGCCATTTGTTCCTAATTTCCTGGACTTCATGCAGAATGGTAACTACTTTCACATTTTTGTGAAATCATGGAGCCTGGACACCTCTAGTCTGCAGATTGCCACGTTGAGCTCCAGTTTGTACAAGAGAGATGTAACGTCTGCAAAAGTCATGAATGCTTCTGCTGCACTGGAGTTCCTCAAAGACAAGGAAAAAACTGGAGGGAGAGCATATTTAAGACCAGAATTGCCCGCAAAGAGGGCCTGTGTTGATGTACAAGAAGAAAGTAACATGGAAGCCTTGGCTGCTGATTTTTTTAACAGAACAGAACTTAATTATAAAGAAAAATTGACCTTTACTGAATCCACACACGTTGAAATTAAAAACTTCTCAACAGAAAAGTTGTTACAACGAATTAGAGAGATTCTCCCTCAATATGTTTCTGCATTTGCAAATACCGATGGAGGATATTTATTCGTTGGTCTAAATGAAGATAAAGAAATAATTGGCTTTAAATCAGAGAAGAGTTACCTTACTAAGTTAGAAGAAGTAACAAAAAATTCCATTGGGAAACTACCTGTGCATCACTTCTGTATGGAGAAGGGGACGATAAATTACTCATGCAAATTCCTTGGAGTATATGATAAAGGAAGTCTTTGTGGATATGTGTATGCACTCAGAGTGGAGCGCTTCTGCTGTGCAGTGTTTGCTAAAAAGCCTGATTCCTGGCACGTGAAAGATAACAGAGTGGAGCAGCTGACCGAGAAGGAATGGATCCAGTTCATGGTGGATTCAGAACGAGGTTGAGGAAGGAGGATTGGCAATAAGGACACATTTGGCTTGGGTGGCAGGAAGGTTTTATTGTATCTTTGGGATTAGGGACAAGATTAAAAGTCTTCAAATTTCAACATCTAATTTACTAATCTCTGGTGGATATAATCAATACTTCCCTGCCTCTTGTTTTCTTCTACACACTTAGAAGACAGATATTCCACACAATAAGTAAATATCTACTCTTAGTAGCCTTATCCGATGCAAAGATTCTAGATGTTTCTTCTCTACCACATCTTTGCTCACTCTCAAGGAAAGCCTGTTCAATTCTTTTCCTTTTTCTGTCAGAGCTTAGTTTCTGTAACTAACCATTGCTTTCTTTCGGGAACACTTACTCTTTTACTTACTTGCTCTTTCATCTTTCTTTACCCCTTTTCCATTTATTTCTTGTAAAGCCTTTTCCCTCTTCCTCTCACATTTATGAGCCAAAGAGTAACCCTAAATTGTACCAATAAGAGAATAATAATGCTGATATTTTATCTGGTTTTGGAAAAGGAAAGACTCCAGTGAAATTAGACCAGACCTAGCAACTTAACAAAAATCTCTGAAAATGCAAGCTTGTCCCTCAGAATCTGCATAAAACCCAGCTTTCCTTCACTAGCTATCACATTCTTCTAATTTTAACTTCTTTTAAAATAAACTCAGTTATATGCCAATGTATTAAGTTGCTATCAAAGCATTTTTACTGCTAATTTTCATTCCAAGTATAGAGGGTTTCAGCAGCATCAAGGGTTAATTTTATAATTTGTATCTGACCTAGGAATCTAACCACAATATGTAACCACAATATCTAATATTTTGTATTGGGAATGCAGGGTCAGTTCTAAGTAGACTTTTGGCATACTGTGCATTACTTAGGTTGAATCTCTCTTGTGCCAAATTAAGAGTGTGATTTTGTTTTCTAACGTTATTCCATAATATATGAAGAACTGCCCTCTCCAGCGAGTACATCATCGCCTGTCTCCCAGAGTCGTCTTCTTCGTGAATATATTAACTCCAAAATTCAGCCACTGAGATATCACCTTCCAGGTAGTTTAATTCTGGCTTCCATGGAGTTGTTGGTGTGACTATGTTTAAACCTCCTTCTCTTCAAACTAGCTCTGTCTTGACATTTGTTATGGAAGCATATTCTTGTGTTTATGGAAATTCTTTGGTGTTTTTAGTCATTGAATTTGTCAAATTCTATTTCTTTAGCTTTGGATTATAATTTTCTTGGTGTAATAGAAACTTCTTTACTTGAAAATAAGAGCAACCCAATTCAGCTTAGTTTAAGCAGAAAAGGAAGAATATACATCATGTCACTGAGCAGTCTGGACTGGCACCCAGCTTCAGGCATGGCTATATTCAGTTACTGAAGAAATACTCAGCATCTCTGATTTAGTCACCTGTTGTTGTTGATAGGCAATGAGTTATTTCCTGTTTTCTGCTATGTGAACAGTGTTACCTTTAATATTCTTATTCAGTCTTTTGATGCATACGTGCAAGAGTTTCTCTTGGGTGCCTAAGTAGGGGTAGAATTGTTGGTTCAGGCAGTGTGTGAATATTTAAGTAATAATATAATGCCAATAAGATAATTTCCAAAGTAAATGGCTCACTTTACTCCCACCAGCAATATATTGGAAATGCCACATCTCTTCCAATGCCAGACTTCTCTCTTCATCTTTCTGCTTGTTCACCTCTTGAACTTCTTTTCTCCCTCAGTCAAATGGGTATAAAATGCTGTCTCTTTTTGGTATGCCTTTCCCTGGTTATTGATTGGGTTGAGCACCTCTCCGTATACTTATTGGCATAGAAGATGTTGTATCTTCTATGAAGTGGTGATTCTGTCTTTTGCTCATTTTTGTAATATGTTTTGTCTTTTTCTTACTGATTTCTAGGAGCAATTCACATATTCTAACATAAAATCCTCATTTAGTCACAGATATTACAGATTTCAGATGTCTTCTCCAAGTTCATGACTTGCATTTTTTCTTTTTGCAAGGCATATTCTCCTTAGTAGTTTTAAATTGGATATAGTCAAACTTACCATTTGAAAATTTTGTGGTTTAGTGCTCTTTGTGCCTTGTATGAGATCCTTCCCTACCCTGGGGTTATCAAGATGTTTCTGTTTATTTTCTTTTAAAAATTTTAAAATTTTGCACTTAACATTTAACATTTAAATATGTAATCCACATCCATAAGCAGTGATGTAGGGGGCTATTTCATTTTATCCCATGTTAAACCACTTTTCCTAGATCCAGTTACTGAAAACTCAGTTTCACCCACTGATCTGTCATGCTACCTCTGGGATATTACTACATACAATTGACCCTTGAACAAAGCGGGGCTTAAGGGTATCAAACCCCTGATGATTTTTATCCATTGATTTCAATTTTCTGAGCCTGTAAGAGAATCAGGACATCTTTATCTTTTCATCTATTTTATTTTTGGGGGGTTTTTAAAAAAGATATTAAAGTAATTTTAAAGTCCCTCTTTGATGACTCTAATATCTGAAGCACTTGCCGGTCTTTTTCTCTAATCCAGTTTTCCTCTCATTTTCTAGTAATTTGTTCTGATTTTTATCCTGTCTCTTAATTTTGTATAGTATCATGGATTACAAATTGTAGAGACTTCAGTAGATGTTGCATTTCTCCAGATAGGGTTACATATATATATATATATTTTTTGGCAGGCAGATAGAGCACCAGTGATTACTTTTATTCTTTTGAAGTTTTGTTTTATGCTTTTCTAAGTATAGTAGTTTTTAATTTTGCACAATTACTAGGTCATGGCTCTTCTGGGGTCTTAAAGTCTGGGGTGTTTACCAAGACCCCTCTACTTGGCTGGGAGTTGAATTCCAATTTGTGTCTCCTGAGCACCATGAAGCTGATGAAATTGATGTTCAGCTCTTTAATCTCCCAGTTGATCAGTTGATATTTTCTCCTTTCCTTTCCTTTCCTTTCCTTTCCTTTCCTTTCCTTTCCTTTCCTTTCCTTTCCTTTCCTTTCCTTCCCTTCCCTTCCCTTCCCTTCCCTTCCCTTCCCTTCCCTTCCCTTCCCTTCCCTTCCCTTCCCTTCCCTTCCCTTCCCTTCCCTTCCCTTCCCTTCCCTGCCCTGCCCTGCCCTGCCCTGCCCTTCCCTTTCCCTTCCCTTCCCTTCCCTTCCCTGCCCTTCCCTTCCCTTTCCCTTCCCTCCCCTTCCCCTTCCCCTTCCCCTTCCCCTCCCTCCCCTACCCTCCCTTTCCTTCCCTTCCCTTCTTTTTGTGACAGGATCTCACACTGTTGCCCAGGCTGGAATGCAGTAGCATGATTACGGTTAACTGCAGCTAATTTTTGTATTTTTTGTAGAGACAGGATTTTACCATGTTGCCCAGGCTGGTCTCAAACTCCTGGGCTCAAGCAATCCACCTGCCTTGGTCTCCTGAGTGCTGGGATTACAGGCATGAGCCACGGCACCCAGCCCCAGTTTATATTTTCTTCTGTGTTTCTAGCATCTCACCTGTATTAGCCAGTGAGTTGAGGAAATTTGTAGGTAGATTTTGGCTTCTCTGCAGTTTCATCTTCTCTGGGATTTTGCTTCTGAAATCCCAGCTCCTCTGGCCGCCCTGAATTCTGACCTCTTTTTTCTTTAGCCTAGTAAAACTGCTGATTTCTGTGTGGGCTCTATTTACCAATGCTGTGATATGGAAAATCTCCTTAGGGAAAAAGCAGAGGTGAATGTGAAGCTACTTCCTGTGCTTCTTCTCTATTAAAGATTGTAGACCTTTAAGTCCTGCTTGTATTGGTTGCTCTCCAGTCCTTTAAATTATAGTTTTGTGTTATATATATACATATATATATACAAATTTTAAAAAATATATATAAATGTATACTTATTTTTGAGACAGGGTCTCACCCTGTTGCCCAGGCTGGAGTGCAGTGGCATGATCTCAGCTCACTGCAGCCTCAACTTCCTGGGCTCAAGTGATCCTCCCACCTCAGCCTCCCGAGTAGCTGGGACTACCAACATGCACTACCATGCTTGGCTAACTTTTTAACCTTTTTGTAGAGAAGAGGTCTTACAATGTGGCCTAGACTGGTGTTGAACACCTGGGCACAAGTGATCCTCCTGCCTCTGCCTCCCAAAGTGTTGTTATTACAAGTGTGAGCAACCATGCTTGGCCCTGATACACTTTTACACAGCTTTTATAGTTGCTTTTGGTGGGAGAATTAATCTGATACAAGCTGCTTTGTATCCATGGCTTAAGTTGGAAGTTCTCAATCTTTTATAATTTATCATTATTTCTCCATCTAGGGCTATCAGAAAAGATAACTTGTACTCCAGAAACCCTCTGCAGAAATCTGTTCTCACAACATGAAGGACTTGAGCAATTAATAGGTGAAGAAATGGGCTCTGTCAGTAAGGGCTCACTAATTTTCTCTAGAAGCTGGTCTTTGGATCTGGGCTTGCAAGAGAACCACAAAGTGCTCTGTGATGCTCTTCTTATTTCCCAGGACAAGCCTCCAGTCCTATACACCTTCCACACGGTACAGGATGAGGAGTTTAAAGGCTATTCTACACAAACTGCCCAAACTTTAAAACAGAAACTGGCAAAAATTGGTGGTTACACTGAAAAAGTGTGTGTCATGACAAAGATCTTCTACTTGAGTCCTGAAGGCAAGACAAGCTGCCAGTATGATTCAAACTTGCAGGTAATTTACCCTGAATCCTACTATCGGACAACAACTCGAACAGTGAAAGACTTGGAAGAGGCTCTTTCAAATATCTTACCTAAGGAGAATCAAATCTTTTTGTTTGTTTGTTTGTTCATTTTGTTTTTGTTTTTTGCTTTTTCTTAAGATGAGTCTCATTCTGTTGCCCAGACTGGAGTGCAGTGGCATGATCTTGGCTCACTGCAACCTCTGCCTCCTGGGTTCAAGCAATTCCTTGCCTCAGCCTCCTGAGTAGCTGGTATTACAGGTGCCCGCCTCCACACCCGGCTATTTTGTTTTGTATTTTTAGTAGAGATGGGGTTTCACCATCTTGACCAGGCTGGTCTTGAACTCCTGACATCGTGATCCACCCACCTCAGCCTCCCAAAGTGCTAGGAGTACAGATGTGAGTCACCGAGCCCAGCCAGAGAATCAATTCTTTTACAGACCAATTTGCCTTTGACATTTTCCAGTGTCTCCCAGATAATCAGTATAGATAAGGATGTTTAAATCTTGTCCAATGCTCACTTGGATCATGGAAGATGGACTGGGCTACAGAGATATTTTTCATTATATATTTGATAACATTCTCTAATTCTCTAAAAATACGTCTTTGAAAACTTTGCAAGTTAAGCAACTTGACGTGATGTTGGAAAACTGGGATTAGCCTATGTTCACTTCTTCGTAAGTTCTTTATAGATATTCCTTAAGGGATATTAGGAAAATTAATTATCTACACGTTTTGCCATACCAAGATGTCATTTGACTATAAAGGAAATATCCGACATTCTTATCCAATGGACATGGAAAACATAGTTCTCTAATATCTTCTTGAAAACTACATTGCAATGAAATTCAGCCAATGAAGAGATTAATCAAAATGGAGAACTTGCTGAGGTGGGTGGATCACTTGAGGTCAAGAGTTGTCACCCAGGCTGGAGTGCAGTGGTGTGGTCATAGCTCATTGCAGCCTTGACCTCCCAACATCAAGAGATTCTCCTGCCTCAGACTCTTGAGTAGCTGGGACTACAGGCACACACCACCATGCCCAGCCAACTTTTATATGTTTTGTAGAGACGGGGTTTCCCCATGTTGCCCAGGCTGGCTTGGAACTCCTGGAATTAAGCAGTCCTCCTGCCTCAGCCTCCCAAAGTGCTGGAATTATAGGCACAAGTCACTGTGCTTGGCCCTCCATTAATTTTTAGAATGGCATAGGTAGTGGTAACTACTGTTAAATTTTCCTTCAGGCATGGGAGTGTGGGGTGTATGTTTTGGCTGAGACAAGGAGTATGCCAGGATGATAGGCTAAGCAGACAGCACACTCAGAAACATAATAGAATCCCTGATATCAGAGGAAAAAAAGCCAAATGTTCTGTGTCCAGTTTGCACCTGAGAAGAGACAGTCCATGGATGTCACTGGGGTGAAAGTTTTTGTGTCTAGGGTGATGCCATGTCTGGTGCAGGAGTAAATTCATCTCTGATGGTAAGCTGGATCGGTGTCATCTGAGGCAGCATCATCTCCAGCAGTGAGCTCCTATGCAGGAAAATGTCATCTAGGATATGGGTCTTGAGTGTTTCTTTTAAGTGGATACAGACTCAGGTTGATGTGGGGCTTAGCATTTGCCATGATTGATTAAAACAATGGCTTGTATGGAGGGTTGGCGCCTCCAGATGGTAAAACAACAAAAGCACCCACATCAATAGTAAGATCAGCAGGCTGAGTATGACAGCTCATGCTTGTAATCCCAGCACTTTGGGAGGCCAAGGAAGGTGGATTGCTTGAGCTCAGGCATTCAAGACCAGCCTGGCCAACATGGTAAAACCCTGTCTCTACAAAAAACATAAAAAATTAGCTGGGTGTGGTGGCATGTGCCTGTGGTTGCAGCTACTCGGGAGGCTGAGGTGAGAAGATTGCCTGAACCCAGGAGGTAGAGGAGGGGAGTGATTCATGATCATGCCACTGCACTCCAGCCTGGGTAACGAGTGAGACCCTGTCTCAGACGAAAACAAAAAGCAAGAACAAACAAACAAAACAAAAAAGATAAACAGAAAACAGAATGGTGTGCAGCTGCATTTGACAGAGTTTTGGTTTTTCTTGCTTGCTTGTTTTATGGTTAAAGTTTAGGCTCAAACGGGTCCCATATCAGATAAGCAGCTGCCTAGCCCATTGGACAATCACTGCCTAGCCCATTAATTGATCCCCAGAGAATATACACACTTGCTGTGTCCTCCTGATGGGAGGGGTTTGATCTTGAAAATCTATAAAATTAAGTTAAGGCCTGGGGCAAGATAAAGACACATTGAGAGGTCCGTTTGTTGGACTGGAACTTTAAAATAAGTTGTTTGGAGAGACTGTTATGTTTCTCAGTTAAAATGGCTATTTGGGACCTATTAGAGTCATGAAAGTTTTATTGAATGCCTCTTTCAGGAGCCCATTCAGGGTGTATTTTGCAATGTGAAATGTCTGCCTTGGTTATCACCTCGGTAATTGTAAGGCCTCATATGGTGGCCTTAATATACACAGGCATGTGATTTTGGATATCTAAGAGGAAAGAGGTTCTTAGTGTTCCTTAATCTAAAAAGGACAATTCATTAGGCAATGGCTCAACTGTTCATAAAGAATGTGGAGATGGGGCCATTTGTTGGCCAGGGCATCCAGCATTCAGTAATATTCCACCTAGCTCCATCACGTATGGTGGTTGGCAGTGGCATTCATATAGTTTGTGAACTTCTACTGCTCTTCACTCAGTCAATCCAAAGGAGCTTCCCAGGTAGCCAAGGGGTCTGGGGGAGAGGTGATCTCCTCCAGCACTATGGCATCTGGCAAGGGACCAAGGACAGGGGATGTCACTCCCTTCTGCGTGTGAATATGCTAGAGACCCCAGGACATGGTAGCCTCCTTGAGACAGGATAGAGACAAACCTGGGCCCTCTGAGGGGCTGAGATTAAGTAAAATTTGTAAGTGAAGAATATTTTGCCATGAGAACACAAAAAGGATGAAAAGATGTTGCACTTTTATGTCCATATGAGTAGACCAAATGACATCTCCTTGGAGGAGGTTATTAATGTAATATCATATCTGTGCTCCCAGAGGAAGGTGCATGCACTTAAGATCTTGTCTGTCCCTGTCTCTTTAAAAAGAAGGCCATCTGAAAAAGCCATATACTGTATGATTCCAACTATATGACATTTTGTAAAAGGCAAGATTATGGAGACAGTAAAATGATCAGTGGTTTCCAAGGATTAAGGAAGTGGGAGGAATGAATAGTTGAACCACAGAGGATTCTTAAGGCAATGAAAATTCTGTGTTTGATACTATATAATGGATATATGTCATTGTACATTTGTCCGAACCCATAAAATGTACAAGAAGAATGAACGCTAATGTAGAAGTTCCAATGGATTTTGAGTGATTATGATGTATTAATTTAGATTAATTGATTGTAACAAATGTACCATGCTAATGGGAGATATTGCTAATGGGGGAGGCTATGCATGAATGTGGGCAGTGGGTATATGGAAAATCTTTGTACTTTCTGCTCAATGTTGCTGTCAACCTACTCTAGAAAAATTAAGTATTAAAAAGGATCTTGTCTGTAAGATGTGTGCATCAATGCAAAATTGTGAAGGTACTGAGGTGTAGCCTGCAAGAGGTATATTGTGTCTCTTCCACAGTGGAGGCAAACTACAGTGGAGTCTGTTGAAATTGGCATGGAATTGAACATATTGAACATATTAGCCAAGTCTGTAAGAACAGAGTATTTAGCAGTTATTGACTGGATAGAGTTAGTAATTTTAGTCATATTAGATACTGGGTATGAGGCCCTAGTAGATAAGTCCACAGCATTAATGTTGTAGTCCTCCACCGTGAGGTGCCTGCTGCTTATTATTTTCCAGGTTTAAGAACACGCAACACTGGGCTGTTAAATGGACAAGCAGCAGGGAATAATTATCCCCTTTATCCCTTTTATGTTATATAAATGAGATTTTATGTAACAACTTTCAGTCCTTCAAGGGCCTATTTTAACTTACCTTGAATGATATTAACTATTTTAATGGGATTTATGTGATCCTATTTTATCAAGCCAATTTTTGAGTGCCAAAAATTTAATTTTAATTTATTATTTATTGTGTCACGGAGTCTGTGTTCAATGTGAGATACTTTAAGGCACTGAGTACAATAACTGTGGGCAATTCAATCAAGATATAAAATAAGGCATAGTTATTTTTAAAAAGTGATTTAGCTATCTTTTAAATTTATTTGGGGTATAATGTTTAAATTTGTTGGAATCTCAGGCATAAGCATAATTTGAGTATTTATTAAGTCCATGAGGTTTCTCAATTGGTGCATTTTGGCAGATGTTAAAGTTAATTTAGAGCTTTCAGTTCTGGCCAGGCATGGTGGCTCACGCCTGTAATCCCAGCACTTTGGGAGGCCGAGACAGGCAGATCACTTGAGGCCAGGAGTTCAAGACCAACCTGGCCAACACATAGTGAAATCTTGTCTCTACTAAAAATTCCAAAAATTAGCTGGATGTGGTGGTGCACTCCTGTAGTCCCAGCTACTTGGGAAGCTGAGGCAGGAGAATCACTTGAACCTGGGAGGCGGAGGTTGCAGTGAGCCGAGATCACGCCACTGCACTCCAGCCTGGGTGACAGAACAAGACTCCATCTCTAAAAACAAAAAACAAAAAACAAACAAACAAAAAAACCCTTACAGTTCTAAATGCAATCACAACCTTATCTATCTTTTTGTTATATCAATTCTTTGGTATATAAATTTTGGATTTCCAATTGGGTGAAATTATGGATGTTTGTTTTAATTAGATATATGTTTGATATCTATATCTATGTACATGTACAATCTATTCATTAGGTCTATATTAACCTAAAAGCTCATCAATGACAGATTAGATAAAGAAAATGTGGTACATATACACCATGGACTACTATGCAGCCATCAAAAAGAATAAGATCACGTCTTTTGCAGGAGCATGGATGGAACTGGAGGCCATTACCCTTAGCAAACGAACTCAGGAACAGAAAACCAAGTCCAGCATCTTCTCACTGATAAGTGGGAGCTAAATGAAAGAACTTATGAACACAAAGAAGGAAACAACAGACACTGGGGTCTATTTGAGGGAGGAGGGAGAGAAGCAGAAAAGTTAACTATT